ATATTGGGAAGGAATTCCTGGCTGGGAGAGTGGGAAGGGGCTGGGATGGAATTCCCAGAGAAGCTGTGGCTGCCCCTTCCCTGGAAGTGCCCCCGATCAGGTTGGATGGGGCTTGGAGCAACCCAGAAGGAGCCAATGATATCCCAAGGGTCTCCCTGGCTTTCCAGAGCCCCAGGAACTGCCAGATTCCCTCTGGGATACGAGTGCTGGCTGGAAGAGGCCGATCCCTGGGTTCCCCTGTGCCGGCTCCTCACCGTTGGGGAACTGGGTGGAGGCGAATCTCGTCAGCAGAATTCCCGCTCCCTCGATGAGCGCCAGGAGAATCCCTCCCATGGCAGCGGATCCCACCATGGCCACGGGCCCGTCTGGAATGGGAAGCACAAACACACCTTGGACTTTTGGCTGCAGTGGTTCCATGTTAGACATTCCCAAAATCCTGCTTTGGGCGGGAAGGGACCTCAAATCCCATCCAGTCCCACCCCTGCCCTGGGCAGGGACACCTCTCACCATCCCAGGCTGCTCCAGCCTGGCCTCGGGCACTTCCAGGGATGGGGCAGCCACAGCTTCTCTGGGAATTCCATCCCAGCCCCTCCCCTCCCTCCCTGTGCATTTGGATCTCTCCCAAAAGCAGACTTGGAGCAGTGACTTCCCATCAATTCAGGGATTCATTAAGGGATAATTCCCGGGCAACTCCCCCCTCCCGGGAACACCAGGAACCTTTGGGAACCCAGGAATTCCTTTCCTAAGCCCAGCAGGGAAGTCTTGGGTGATTTTCCAGTGGGCAGCAGATCCCAGTGAGGGTGTCCCACACCCTGCCACGGGAACTGGGATGTTTGGGGGTGTTGAGGGATTTTCCCAGTTTCTTACTCCGTGCGGCCAAAATGGCTCCGGTCAGGGCTCCGCTGGTGATGGAATTCCAGGGATCCTCCTTGCCCCTCACCCGGACCATGCTGCAGTCGATCATGGAGAAGAGCCCTCCCCACACGGCAAAGCTCCCTGTGCAAGAGCCGGGATTGGGGGGGAAACCCGGGAATGGCACCCCGGAAACCAGGGAATGCCTCCTTGGAAACCAAGGAATGTTTCCCCCATAAACCAGGGAATGCAGCCCCCAACCCACCCGGAGCAGGTAAAATCACTGGAAAAGGGGGAATTCCCACCCTGTCATTCCAGGGATTGCTCCCCACACGTAATTAACCCAGGAACTTAAATGAAATTTAAATTAATTCATTAAATTAATTAATTTAATTTATTGAATAAATTAAATTCCCAAAGTTGGGAATTTAAATGTAATTTAAATTAACTCATTAAATTAATTTAGTTTAATGAATTAAATTCCCAACCTCAGAAATTTAAATTAAATTTAAAT